GTCCAGCACTTTCAGCATTCCTCAAAACTTCTACGCACATTTCATCATTCCCGTCGTTAAAATCATCGGACAGTATATTATTCATATACTGCCAAGAGGGACCTGCTGGTATGTCAGGGACATATATTCCAGGAGCTATTTCTTTTTCACCAGGTGTCCGGACGCGAACATTGTCTACATAATTAATAAAACGTAAATTAAATATTGAAGAAAATAAATAAATCTTACTTGTCGTATTGCATAGTCCAGCACTTTCAGCATTCTTCAAGACTTCTACGCACATTTCATCATTCCCGTCGTTAAAATCATCGGACAGTATATTATTCATATCTTTAGGCTGCAATCCTGATGGCTGATCTGTTCTATTCGGGACGATCTCTACTTCACATCGTTGTACATCTTGTACTTGTGGAGCGATTACTGTATTAGTACGTCGTACACGGTTGTGAGTGTTTTTCATATGGCGAACAAGGTTCGACTGGTAACTAAATGATTTAGTACATTGCAAGCACGGAAAGCAGACTTTATCGTGCGTATTTTCATGTCTCTTCAAATTGTCCTTACGCGTAAACGTAGACACACACTTTATACATTTATACATAATGAAAAGTAAAAATTCACTAACAAAATATAAAAACGTTTCGAGAAATACGAGCACTGCGGTTTAAGGCTGTAGACGTACTGAAAGACTGAGATCTCTCAGAGCCATAAGTCTTTTAAAATTTAAATAGGTATGTGCGATTTTAGTGGGGCAAGTAATGCCATTTGGCAGGAAATGTCTTTCAATCACTAATGTCCAGGTGGTATGTGAATATTTAATTGAATAAGGATACCTATTGTCTCTTAATGTTGAAAGTGTCTTTCAATATAAATGCGGCTATTAAGAGTCGGCGACACGAGTCGTGCGAATTTCGAAATAGGCATTTAACATATCGAATAATCCTAATGGCAGGAAATATACGGGCCATTGTGGTCAAATATCTCCTATTATGGTGTATTCATCGATATTATTCGTGTACGCAGCTGCAAGTTATTGGTATCCTAATGATATTATAATATGACCAGTATACTGTGGTTTAAATATTTTTAATTTTATTTATAATATGTTCAAACTCTGGTTAAATAGGTAAGAATAACA